TTCCTGCCTGGTTGTCTTTGTCTTGGCTGGTTGCCTTCTTCCTGGCTAGTTGCCTTCTTCCTGGCCAGTGGCCTTCTTCCTGGTCGGTAGGTTTCTTCCTGGCTGGTGGCCTTCTTCCTGGTCGGTAGGTTTCTTCCTGGTCGGTAGGTTTCTTCCTGGCTGGTGGCCTTCTTCCTGTTGCCTGCTTGTAGTTTTCACTGGTGCAAAGTCATTTGAGCAAGGATTTGTTTCCACTTCAAATACCAGTTGGATCACTGCAGGTTCTTCAGTCGTTCACATTGATGAGAAGATTGTAGCGTACCTTCCAAACACCTCCATCCCTCACTGCACTCTGTTCTGCCTGCTGGCTCCACATCCAGCTACAGGAATGTAAACTCGTCCATGTTTACCGAGGCTTCAGTAGACCGACCGTTAAAAATGGTCGTCCATTGTTACCATGCACATGTACGTACTTTTACTGCTGCCCTCGTTCAGCGCTTGGGGAAACACCTGAATCTAAGTAAACTACAGTTTATTTTTGCATGGGTTACTCCAAAATAAAATCAGTGGAATCAGGGAGGCCAGTGTCTAATCTCTGAAGAGACCTTTTTGAGTAAGCGCCAAGTCGCCGTTCATAATACTTGTTAGAGTTGTCTTTTGGACGTTTATCTTCAACCCATTTCTGCACACTTGGTACTATTTGTAGCTGTTTATATATTAAAACCTTCGGCTCATTCAGGAGGAGGGTGCTCTGACTTTTAGTGAGGGGGATTGTAACTTTTATACTTTTCAAAATGTTCAACTTTATTTACAAAGATTTTCCTCAAAGAAAAACATTGAACTCTCTTTAATTCCTTCAAACTTGTTGAAAATCAACTTCAGTTTGGCTTATGCTCCTTTTAGCTTTTAGCTACTGTCAGGTTAACTTTAGCTTTTAGCTACTCTTTGTCAGACTTGTTCTTTTAGCTACTGTCGGGTTTAGTTTTTGGCTACTGTTTGTCTGACTTTAGCTTTTAACTACAGTTTTGCCTATTTGAAGGTTTTATCTGTGGTTTTAATACATTTAGCCTTTAGCTTTTTTTTTTTTTTTTGCTAAAATGAACATTTAACTACTGCCTCAAAAATTTTAGCTTTAGCTACAGTTTTGCTTATTTAAAGTTCAGCCTTTGTCTATAGTTTTGCTATTTTTATAGTTGAACAACCATTTTGCAATTTTTAACTTTCAGTCTCAATTAGCTACTGTTTATAATTTAATTCTTTACGTTAGCTACAAATTTGATCGTTTTATCCTTTAGCTACTGTTGAACATCTTTTAGCTATGCTTTGATTGTAAAATCTTTTACTGTAGCTACAAATTTAACACCATTAGCTTTTAGGTTCACTTTGACTAATTTTGGCTTTTAGCTTCAGTTTTTAATTTTATAGTTTAATCAACGATTGATCTTTCAACAACTTTTATGAGTCATTCAGCGCGACACGTTTAAACTTAATTATCAAAGAAAAAGCCGTTGTTTTTGTTTGTTTGTTTAATTTCAGCCGTTCTTCTGTTCGCGTCACGATTTTTAATTCACTGCCTCTCGTGTTTTAGCGGAAACTCGTGAAAATGTTCGATGCAGTTGTGAACGGTGCTCCGACTTTTTCAAATCCAATATTTCCACATGAACGACCGAATCCTCTTGAAAAGTGGTTTTTAAAGCCAGTTCTGTTTTGAGCTCTGTCTCCGACTCACAGCAGAACCATCGTTTAAAGTTTAAACGGGTCACAGGAAGTTGGACTTTAAAGGACTAAACCGCTGCGCTCAGATCATTAACGGTTTAAAGATTAACATTTATGTTTTAAGACTTCAAAACTTCTTTTTGTTCAACTTGGTGTGATGACTTCCACCATCTTTACACTCCTGTCCCAGTTTATTAATCAAAAGGTAAATATTTTGTTAGCTTAAATTGTTACAAGTGGAAGAGCCAAAATTCTCTGGACTTTTCGAGGCGAGTTTCTGGAAGTAGCTGCAGAAACGTTTTGTTCAAATTAATCTTTTTAGGAGGCAGATCCCGTTCTGGACGCATTCGTTTAACAGGACTTTGTAGTCGTTGACTCCTCTTCTGTCAAAATCCAGGGGAATAAATGTAAAAGTTTTTCTAGTCTTGTCTCTCGCCCCTTTTAATTTATATCTGAGGCAAAGAAATCCCCTTGAGTTTAATTATCTGTACTTACGTGAGCCTGATTGCAACACGGTGTTTGTATTTGTGCAGGCTCTGATGCATTCCACGTTTCAAACTTCGCTCGTGTCAAAACTTGACTGATTCTACGACGACTGCGTGTCGGACTGCTGCAGACGCATCCGATTATTGCATCTTAAAATAATCTTCCAGGATTAAACCCTGATTTCTGCACTTCTGTTTGTTTAACATTTCTTCTAGATTCAAAGAAGGAAATGATGCATCTTTTTTTGTGCTTGTTTATATAAAACAAATCCTTTACAAGGTTCATGTTCCTGTCAGAGACATCGTCTCATCTGGTTCAGGTTGTTGTTGTTTTTTCACGTGAAATTTTCTCACAGAAAAGGAGCTTAAGACGAAAACTTTCAGTGATTCCTGCCTCGCTCCAGCTGGAACAGAAAGGCCGTGTTTGTTTAGTTCATTGCAAGCAGCAGCTTAAAAAACAAAAAGCTTCTTGGTGAATTAATTCCGTCAAACTTTACCTGCTCAAGTAGCTAAATCCATTTTTCTGAGAAGGGAGGAGGCCCGGGCCCGGTGCCAGGCAGAGCTGAGAGGAAGTTTATGTCTGAGGTAACTGTTTACTTAGAGCGCAGATGTCGTGAGAAAACTTGTCACCTGGTTTTTGTGAATGCCTGACAGCCCGTCACACTTTGGCAGGTGCTGTTTCAACACACAACCAGCCACTTCCTGCTCGGCCACCGAAGCTGCTTACCCACTTTTTATTTTTACACAAGCTGAGTGAATGAAGACCGTTCTCCGCTGCTGTTGGCTCTAAATTAAAATCCTCCGATGGATTTCACTTTAGGAGGAAAGATCAACCAAAATACTGTTTTTCTGGCTGTTATTGCAAGCATCACTCAGACCCTGTGAATAGCAAGCAGCCATCAGGGCTCTAACGACCTGTTGTTAGGGCTCTAACAATCTATTGTTAGGGCTGTAACGACCTATTGTTAGGGCTCTAATGATCTATTGTTAGGGCTCTTAACAACCCATTGTTAGGGCTCTAATGATCTATTGTTAGGGCTCTAACAATTTATTGTTAGGGCTCTTAACAACCCATTGTTAGGGCTCTAATGATCTATTGTTAGGGTTCTATCAATCTTGTTAAGGCTCTTAACAACCCATTGTTAGGGCTCTAATGCCGTATTTTTAGGGCTCTAACAACCTATTGTTAGGGCTCTAACAATTTATTGTTAGGGCTCTTAACGACCCATTGTTAGGGCTCTAATGACGTATTTTTAGGG